TCACTAGGTTATGGGACCGGGCATAAGTAGGGGAGCGGCAAAGGATGCGGTAGATGCAAATCTACTCTCATTATAACCTAATTCACGCGTAAGTCACAACTCCCGCACTACCCTGCCGCGAGGCACACAGTGGACCTCATCAGATACGACAGTTGGACTGTCACTGTATCGCCTGTGCCAGGAACTAGAAAAATAGCAGTCGGCTATATAAGATGAGGTGAATTACTGAACACATCCTATCTCGGTCACCGACTTGGGATATAGGCCATTTTCACTCTCTAAGGGAGTCTGCATGCGACAACTCCGGCTAGCTGTGTAGAATCTGCTCCACAGGGCAGCAAGGCCATAGGTGGGTTAATATTAAATCTATCACTGAGAAAACTACTCAGCCATTCCATATGGAGGACTGAGGCCAGTCGAAGGCCTAGCTGGGCTACAGGTTTCCTCAGATGGTGCTTCCATGAGTGTCGTTGACGAGTACTGTGGGTGCTCGGAGTATATAATCAATATTAATCGGTGTGAAATAACAGAACAAAACATACTCAGAGTAGCGACTTACCCTTAGACGCTGTCGTACATCCGAAATGTGAAAACTTTCTACGTAAATCCCATCTATGCGGACAATCGCGAGTGCATCTTGTAATGCAAACCCTTTCACGAAAGCAGACACGAAGTCGACACCCTTTTGGAGGAACTGCGGGTCTGTGGTCTCCGGGGAATTGCGAAGCATGACCTTCCAATTCTTCTTTGCGGTTTTCATGCAAACCATGAGTTTCAACTGTTTGGTCAAAATCTGTAACATAAAAAGTTGAAAAGTAGCTCATTGAAATGGGTAGCGAAATAGAGCTATGGTCGCAATCAACAGGCAGTGGCCAAATGACTAAGTGGGCCGGTGTGAACTCTGGTGCTAGTGATATACTCGGTTCTCGACAGGCAAGATGTATTGCCTTTGGGCCTTAGATGACGGGTAGTGAAACATTTCAAAAGCTAGTCATCGCTTTAATAACTTCACAGATTTTCCAAGATGAGACCAAAGATTATTTTAAAAACAATTTAATAAAGGCGTCTTTAAATTATCTCCAGCAGTAAAATGTTGTTTGAAACGTAAATATGTCGTCCGAGGAGCAGCTACAAGAAACAATGTGCACACCCACAAGGACTGGGACCCTCTGGAAAATTAGACAATTGAAGTCAAGCTGTATTCCGCGACAGACTTCGATAAAAAGATAAAACTTTAATTCAGCATAAACATAGTGCGCTCAGGTTTGGTCACTAGGAACATTAACCAAAGCATCTTCTTCACTGTGTTTAGGGCTGCAGCGCAGGAGTACACTGCAGGTTATTAGCGCACATCACTAGCAGTTCGAAAGCCGTGGAGATGTAGAGATTTCGACATTCTCGAGGTTACTACACAAAGCATTGAATGTCACTCTAAAGCTTACTTTAGACGTTTCGAAGTATGAATTTCCCACCCCCACATTCACACACGATCGGAAATATGCTAGCTTGGTGCAGATGTTTTCGGGCGCGGTTCCGGTCCGGCAGGATTATTCTTGGGAAGGACTTGGAAAAAGACCATGTTTGTGGTGGTAGTGTTTACAGTTTTATC